AAAACTTTCTCCCATATTATTGTAGACAATGTGTTTGTGGCTTGACTGAGAGTTTAAATCCCACTTGTTGTTTTGATTTCAGTTCCCTAGGGTCAGAGGCAGAGGGTGGAACAGGGGAAATTATCCAGGCAACAACAGCAATGGAAACCCTGCCAATATGAATCCTGCAGTGCGCCCTCCAGAGGAGGAGTGGGACCCTGAATACACTCCCAAGAGCAGGAAGTATTACCTGGTGAGTCTGGAGCTAAGGATTAATTAAGTCACACCCATAAAGCCCTAAAAACAGGTCTTTTCCCCTGGAGACATTTTGACACTGTAGGAATAACATCTTAATAAAATTAATGATGGCTGCTTCAGTTTCAGGATTCTAGTATTGTGACTCATGACTATTAAAGGAGACTTGTATAGTGTTATTAGGAAAACTTCTACTCTATAAATGTCTGCCATGAAACAGGCCTTTCAACCATTTCTTCATAATTTTCTGCCAAAGTTGGACTGATGGATATTCTGAATTAGGCCTTGCTCTGAATGTGGCGTTTGGCTGGCACTGCACCACTGTGGAAGTTTAAGAATCAGCCTTATTTCATCATTATAGGCCACATTAAGTCTTTGCCTGTAGCTTCTCGAGGCACGCCACAAGTGGGCAGTATACAGCAGGGTACAAACTGCTCTAAAAAGAGCTCTACTCACATTAACTGAACACATGTTGAATTTGCGAGCAAGTATATTAGCTTGCGCATACAACTTGCGACACTGTCTGTAGATATATTTGTCATCAGATTAATCATTGACACAATGGCCAAGATATTTAATCTCATTACACACTAATATTCTGTTTACTTTACCTCTAACAATCATAATGTTGCTCTTATTGATGTTATATTTGATGTGAAAGTCTACACTATAGTCAGAGTAAGTCTAGAGATGATCTGTAGGGCAGTTTTATGTCACTTTATAGCTGACAGTGTGGAGGAGAGAGAGGGATATGGCGTCCCAAACACAGCTGGATCAAGGATGTTGAGGTTATGTTATATTCAGCTACTAAAGTGCCTTTTATGGACTTTTTTTTCACAGAGTTTTGACTTTGTAGAACCTGGTTCTTCTCATCTCTACCAAACCATTTGTCATTTCTGCTCCCAGTTGCATAAAATGTGTCCCAGGAAAACAGATTATTGTTCCTTTAAAGACCATCCGACGCCAACTTTTAGCCAGTATGTAAAGCATGCACTGTCAGTTGATTTGAAAGTATCTGATGATTGTTTTAAACAGAGTAAAGACTGTAGTCCTGATTGAAGAAGCAAAAAATGTAGCCCTGGACCGGCTTAAAACTTCTTCATGTTTATTAAAACATTGAAAGCATTTCTGTAGTGTTTAGATGTAAAGAAGTTTGAAGTTGGACTTAAGACTAGAGCTTTAATGTTGTCCATGTCCCCTTCCAGCATGATGATCGTGATGGGGAGAAAACCTGGGTAGACAACCGTGGTAGAGGCCGCGGTTCCTTCCCTCCTCGCCGGGGACGCTTCGTCTACCGTAAAGGGGGCAGCAGCCCGAAGTGGACCCACGACATGTTCCAGGGAGGAGGGGAGGGGGAGATGGGCGACGACAACATAGAAGTAGACCGTAAAGACACCAAGAGCGCCGGAGACATCTCCGCCCAGAAGCAGTAGACACCATCATCATCATTATTGTTGACATGTTCATAAATGTCTGTGTCAGAGCGGTTACAGCGGCGATGAAAAGGGTTCCTCTTTTTTCCCCTCAGCATCAACTCATTATTTAATGGTTAATGTTCCGTGAGTTTCTCACAGTTGAAGTGAAGAAAGGACTGACTTGAAGAGCAGCACTCTGTTACATTTGTATGTGAGGTTAGCTTCATTTCAGAGCGTGTTTTTTATGTAACGGTGAGTTTTTGTTCCGCAGCTGGTCAAATTAATTGTATCTTTTTAAGGGAGAAAATACTGAGGCAACAAAGATGAATATTCTCTGAAAACATGACAAAAGAAGAAATGCATTTGTGCCTTAGAAAATAAATATAAATGATAATACATGTGTAGTCTGTTTCAAGGTAAAACCGCGGTTATGAGAGGTACAGCTGTATCAGTAGGAAGGCATTAGATGATCACCACCATAATGTTTTTCTGTTTGTTTTTGGGACTGTGATAAATCTTTAATGTTACTGCATGAAACGTTTGAGTCATACCTCACTCCTCGGGACCAATCAGTAGCGGGTTAATGATAGTCAAATTATGAAAAAATCTTCTGATGAACCCCTGAATGATTCTCACTTATATTATCCATGCTTTTTCGTATAGTGCCACTTAACCTGTATTTCTCATTAGGAAGTGAGAGCATTTTTATGTGTGTGTGCTGCAGTATATTCTCATAAATTGTGGATGTTTTCATTCAAGAAAAAAAAATTAAATTGGCACCAAAAGATTTTGCTTTAGACATATAAACACATATCAGTTTAGGTAAGTGGCTACCTTATGTTTAGATTTTTAATTTAAAAAAAAAGGCTAATGCATATATAGAGTTATAAAACCTAAATTATTGTAATCTTAATATCTGAGGGAAGGGAAAACAAAAATACATTACGGTTCTGATTTTTGTTTTAATACAACGGTTTCAGTAAATTCTCCAGCAAAAAAAAAAAGTACCTGCACATGAAAACATGAAGAGAAAAAAAAATTGTGACAAAACATTGTCAGTATTGAAAGTGCATATTTTTAAGAAGAGAACTGGCGAACTAGCAGAAATAGTTTGTGAATCTCACTGTGCTGCTTCGTCCCACCTTTGACTGTACATACTGCATGTACTAAAACGAGCTGTAGGAGTTTTGTTTTTGTTTAATCTGAAGCTGAAAACTTTTGTACTGTTCTCAAGAGCTTTGGAGTACTTTGTCTTTTAATTTTCAATAAATCTGTTCTTTGATTCAGGGCGAACTCTGGGAATGTCATTGTTGTGGACAGGACAGGTAAAATTTGAAAATACACCCTCTTCCTGCAGCTCTCCCCTCTCTGTCATAAGCCACCACCAGGTGACAATGACGATGGGCACATACATGGGCTTCATTCTGTAACCCAGTGTTTCCCATACTCTGATTTAATTAATTAGATCTCGCTGTCGAGCTGTGCGCAGGGCATTAACTCAGCCTATCCTTGTCCCGCTCTTGGTCTCTCTGCCAGACAACAAAGACAAGACCATAAGACTAGAATTAGCTAGCCAGCCACCCCACTGTCCCCCTTTCTCGTTCCCTGCCACTGTGGACTGCTTCACACGCATCTGCAATTGTAGAACAGCCAATAGGAACACCCCTCTCTTTGAAATGACCTGTGACTGGCAACATCTCATGTCACAGGCTAGATTTTCAGAGCCAAGAGGAGGTGCAGAAGTCTAGTTACCTTTTAGACTACTTGAATTACAATATGCTCCAGGATTATTATGGGATTTTTGCCCAATGACACCAAAATTAAAATGTCTCCCCCAGCTTTAACAGACTATAGAGATGTGTTAAATAGATTGGGATTTACTTCATTATTGTGTGGGGTCTCACTCCACTGCAGTACGTGTAATAATATTAATAGTTGCAAAAGTAACCTCTTCCTAAAACCCATACGTAAAGACATAAAGTGCTAACCTTTAGCTTGGGGTTGTACAATTAAAGACAGTGACAAAATAACAATTAGCATAGTAGAGCTACAGCTAATTATCATTAATCTGTACTTTTCTTGTCTATACACCACAAAGTAGTGAAAATGGCCATTATATGAGAGGGGTGTCTGAAATGTCATCAGTTCAAAATCATGTTTATAGGCACACCTCATGAGGAATCAATGTGACAAAACCATGTTAAATATGTTTTTCGAGCAGCTGAAGAGCCCCAGGACCACAAACAAGTGTGAATAAACAGTTTGTCGCAGAATGAGCTCACACCATCAGATCATGAGTGTCTCATTTTGTCAGTATTGAGAGTTGTTTTCTCTATATCCATACAACAATCTTCATTCAGTGCCACTTAACGGACCCTGGACACAAGCTACTGCAGTTGTAACATAATGAGCCTTTTCATAGACGGAGGAGGAAAATTCAGCTGACAGAAACTCTCCTGAGACATCACATGGAGAAGCTCTGCATTGGTAATATCTACAGTAAGGCTGAGGTGAATGGCTCTTTCATAGTCCCTCAGACAGACGTGTCTTCAGCAGAGAGGGCTGCAGTGTTGTATGTGAAACTGGGAGGGAGGGAAGGGGGGTACTGGGAATTGTGGAGAGGGAAACAGGAAGTGTTGGGGTCAGAGACATAAGCCAGTGTAAAGGCTGGGAAAAAGACCTGAGGGTTTTCTGTGGGAAAGCTGACGTCTCTACTAAGATTAGCCCACCATGAAGCTGCCTCGGTGGGAGCAGTGACACCAAGGCTGCAACTGAACACTACCTTCCTTTTATATCAATACACACAGTATTTTCTTGAATGAAAAATTAAATTAGTTTTGTTTTTTTTTTGTCCATCACAATTTTCCAACGCACATTTTTCTGGACTATCTCTGTACTTTGCACGTTATTCTAATTTTATTTATGTGAACCATCCCCTAGAATATATTTTTGCACACACTGCCTTTCATTTTAAACAGGCTACATTAATCGGGTTACTCTAATTTAATTTGTTTTCCATATTTCTGTTTCTTGTCTATCAAAACACTAAAGCAAATTTCTTGACTGTGAAAACCTACTTGGTGACAAACTGGATTCAAAGTCTGATGATGCAGGCCAGAAAATAATGCAGAAAATGAATCAACAACCATTTTTTTGTAGTAATTTATCAAATAAAAGGTCTAACAATCATTGAGTCGAGTTATTAAAATATGAGGATTTCCTGCTTTGCTCTTTTATATTATTGCAAATTGAATATTTTTTGGATTTTTGGGCTGTTGGTCAGACAAATTGTGCAATTTTAAGAATTGAAAACCATCAGTTGATGAGTCAAAAACATGACTAGATCATTAATACAGTCTGAAACATAAACATATGCAATTTATTATCACATAAGACATAGAAATAAGCTAATATTCACATTTGAGAAGCTGAAACAGTTACTGTTCAGGGTAGGACTAATTCTTGGGTGGAGGGCGGGACAGGTTACTACCTGGAGTCTCCCAGTTAGCTATCAGTATCACAACAAGGAAAACATCACAAGTTGTCCTTTATCCACTTGAATGTACTTGTAGGTGGATTTATTAACCCTGTTGGCCAAAGCTAGGCTAGCAGTTTCTACCTGTTTCCAGTCTTTATGCTAAGCTAATTTAGCTAACTGTCTCTCAGCTCCAGCTAATGCTACATACTTAGCTTAAAAACATGAAACATGAACATGAAAAGTGATTTTCTCATCTAATTATTGCTAATAAATCAAATGAACATTGTTTGACACATAAATAACCACAGATGGACACCACTTCATCCAATGATAGACATGTTCTGTTGTTGACTCTGTGGTTACACTTTTAATTATTCACATTGCAAATATATGGTAAAACAGGTGAAGCCAAATATGCTGCATACAATATATTATATAGTTTTGTGTCACAAGCATGCTAAAACAAAATGTATGGGGGACTATTAAAGTAAAGAAAAAAAGTAATCATATAAATGAACACAAACACAATACATTTCACTGTGAAATAATATGATTAAAGTTTTTTTTAAACCAGCTCATTCACAGATTATGTTTTTGTTATCCTGCTGAGAGTTTATTGATGAAAATGAAAGTTATTCCACCAGTGTTGATTTAAAAAAGAAAAAAAAATCCCCCAGTCTCTTTTTTTATTTCATAAAGACAATGCAGGTTTTTCTTGATCAATAAAGATGTTAACTGAATTCTAAAAAATGTATTGGATTTGAAAATATGAATGTATTACATGTCTGTATCTATTTATATGATCACTTATTTCATAATGTCTTATTGACTTAGGAACTGTACCACAGTTATTAGGGGGGAGAGGGGCTCAGAAAACAGGGAAGGGTATTTTTGGTTTCGTCTTCTTTTCCTAAATTTGCATTTTTTTTAAAAACATATTTGCACTTTGCCATATGCAAAAGAAATACTTCACCTCCTATATTTTACTCATGCTGTGTTTCTGTGAATTTGTAAAGAAATTTTAATTTTTCTCACACGCCTCCTTGGTGGATGAAGAATGCAAAAACGCATAAAATTCTTGATGAATTGAAATCATTGGGGGTCAAGTATAACAACAGGAAAACTGTTGTTATCCCCCCTAACATACGACTGGATAAATGAGACTTGTAGTGTTGTACTGCAAGAGTTTTGTAACAGTTTGTAAGCAGATGTTATGATATAGTTTTGCTGTTGTAGACCACGGCCACTTATGACTTGAATTCTTAAAGATTTTTTTTCCATTTTTGGATTCTTTGTTCAGCGTGGAGGCGTGAGAAAAAACGATTTCTTTGCAAATTCAACGTTAGCATGGGATGAGTAAATGTTATACAAATAGTCATTTGAAGGGTGAAATATTCCTTTAATGTGGTCATTGGTTGTGCAGGTCAGAAGTTCTATTAAGATTTTAAGGGTTAAATTGGGGTACTGATTAAATTCCTTGAATAATTTAACACTGTAATTCAAGAGTAGGGCTTTGGTTTTGACAAAGTGAAATATAAGGTTCAATCCCTCTCACCACCCCAGTCACTTATTTTAATATCAAGCACTGTAGGTTATCATACAAATCAAAACATCTGTGTGTGTCCTGTCCTCTGCAGTTTGTGGGGTCGATCTTTAGGGCACAGTCAAAGTCTTTGTTAGTGGTAATGCACTCGTCCAATAGTCCCCGTCCCTGTGACCAGGATGTCGGGCTGTCCGTTCCTCCATATCTCCCTGACGATTCTTTCCCTCTCCTCCAGTCGTCGAGCCTTCTCCAGCTCCTCAGCTGACGCGAACACATTTACACTCCTCAGAGTCCCGTTGGACTGGCTGCTGTGATCACTCATGGGCCCTATTGTCACTTTGGGGATCTCTGCCTCCTCCCCATCTTCCTCTGCAATGCTCTCCTCATCCTCCTCGCCATCCTCCTCTTCCTCGCTGGACTCCTTTAGCTGTCTCCTCTCAGGGGAAGGGGGTGGTCTGCTGTGGCGGCGAGTCCTGCAGGCGATGCCGGCCACCAGGAGGCACAGTGCCATGAGGAGGCCCAGACAAACACCCATCATGAAGTAGAGGGCGAAGCTCTCTGGATTGGCTGTGAGGGCAGAGAAATGGATGAGTTCGACCTCAGCTACAGGAAGTACTAAGTACTAAGTACAGTTACTCAAATAGTGTACTTAAAGGGATACTTTGCCGATTTTCAACTAGCTTTGTATCTCACCAGTGTGGGTAGTATGTGTAAATGTACTAGAGCAAATTTCCCTCCATCTTACCAGCACCCAGATGTCCCTGCTCATTTGTCAGCAAAAATCAAGAGAGAGCCCCAGGCTGACAATCATGGTTGTTGACACACTGAGGTTTTTACCTTTGATGTGAGCGTAGGTCGCCATGCTGTTACTGAGCAGCTCCATGTCTCTCTTAACAGGCTCCATCCTGGTTCACTGTGGGTTCAAATATCTACCATCTCCAGGATTTTGTTTTACAAACGGAACCCCAACACCAATGGCAGATCCTGTCACAAAACAAACAAACAAACAATTAGTACATGCTTTAATGTTTCAGTCTGATATACATAAGATAGTGTCACTTTTAAACCCACTGGGGAAGTGTGAGCTCATTTAAAAGCCTGACAAAGTGTGTTCCCCTCCCATCATTCCTGTTATCTGGTGTCAGAGGTCAGCAGACAAGGACATTGTGTTCCTCATAAGTGTTTTACAGTCGGGCCTGTGATGAGGACAGCAACATGGGGCCCTCTCTGTCTAATAAGGATGTTTATATTTATGACATCAGTGCCTGAGGAGGCTCTTTTCCGGCTTTTTTTTTTTGTTGTTGTTCTTTTTTCCCACAGAAAAACTGACAGAACAAATTTCACATGTTCACTTGAAAACTCCAGCTAAAAAAAATGTCACTAGAGACCATCATGCGATGGGATCACTCCAGCTGCAATACAGCAAACCACAGCTTAAAATGGATGTGGGCCGGAGGCATAAAGCGGGGGGCCAGTGGCCTCTTTCCTATCTCCTACCCTCCTACTTCCAGTCTGCTTGTGCCGACCAAACCCATCTTTGAACTCTACCTTCAACTTGATCTCACCAACACACTTCTATGGCTGCATGACTGCATCTTGCATGGTTTAGACACCATTGTGTTGACAAAATCTGTCCACAGACAGACATATAAACATGTGGCAAAGTAGTCATAAGTTCCTCCGCTACAGTGGTAGTTTCCGCTACAGTAGCTGTCTCCAGGACCACATTTTGCCATGATGGCACACACACAGACTCATATGCTTTGGAATACTTTGCCAAGGTCAAGTATAAGAATGGGTGTGGTCCGAGCAAGGGCGCTACAAGTAAGGGGCAGGAATAAGGGAAAGGGCCATTGCTACCCACTACACGCTACACACTAAATCTAAGCAGGTTTTGGATAGTACGTGCCAAAATAAGTGGACTCATAAAATTCAATATGCCTGCTATAAAAAAGCCTGATTTTTGTGTGTGCTGTTGATGCGCCCTATTGTCCCACAATGCAATGCACTAAGGAGACAGACGAGCTTCTCACAGCTGCAAAAAATCAAAACTAAATGAAGATGGTGGTGAAACAGCTCTAGGGACATTTTTAGAATACAAAAAATAACAATTAAATCTTTGGGAACAAAAACATTTTGGTTTCAATTTGCGCGATTTTATTGACTGTGTCATTTCAAACTCACAGTGTGACTGATTTTCCAGTTGGTATAAAAACTGTGTAAAAAAAAAAAAGAAGCAAATGTCAATTTATTGTATACTACCTGCAAACAATGCTCGTGTTGATGTTTAGCAAGTATAATGTTTACCAAGTTCACCATCTTAGTTTAACGTGTTAGCATGATAATGTTTGCTCATTAGCACTGAACACAGAGGACAGCTGAGGATGATGGGGATGTCATGAGTTTTGCAGTTATTGGACAAAATAAATTTTTGGTTGCGTCAATGCCAAGTTCACACAACACGATTTTAGTCCTGATTTTCCATTCCCACACAGTTACTGGAGCTCCCCAGCAACCCCAGATCAGAGGCAAATCAGCACCGACTTGGCAATTACAAATTAGCACTTGAGCACAATGTGTGCTCAAAGATACAATTGCTGAAAGATACTCCCCAGATATCTTGCATGCTAAATATCTGGACCTGTTGGGGACTTTGTCAGCAAGCTACAGCCAATGAGAGCACAAGACATGGGCTAAGGACAAAAACAAGCTGAACTACATCGAGAGAAAATGATGGAGAGAGGGGAAGAGATGGTGGAAGGTGGACTATTGCACACAATGTTTCTGTCGATTATTAACCTATTAACTTTTTCAGTATGCTGCTTTCCCCACGTTTTGACCTCAAAGTTTTTTAGTAAGCACCCCTGGGTTGTAGGTCGATCTGCGCATCACATGACATACTCATCGGCGATTCCAGCTGGTGAAAGATCTTGTAGTGTGTGTGACTTCAAGACTCCCGACTACAACACAAGTTGAGAACCAAGAACAGTACAGCTATCTGACAACTTTGAAAGTCATGTAGTGTGAACTTATGTCAAAGAAAATAGGAAAGGAAACCATTTTTCCCCCGTTAAAGGTTTTTTTTTTTGGGAGTTTTTCCTTATCCGCTGTGAGGGTCCTAAGGTCAGAGGGATGTCGTATGATGTAAAGCCCTGTGAGGCAAACTGTGATTTGTGATATTGGGCTTTATAAATAAAATTGATTGATTGATTGATTGATTGATTGATTGATTGAAATACAGGATCACTAAAGTCATCAGGATACATCCTCTGTTAGACATGTATGTCCGCACAAATTTTGTGCCAATCCAGACGTACACGTTGAGATATTTTTTGGGATAATTTAATCTGTTTACCTGCAGATGGTGCCACAGGAAAAGTCAGGGAAATTCAATATTCCTCTTCTGGTAAAAACAAGAATGTCTGAACCATATTTTGTGGTAATCCATCCAATAGCTGTTGAGATATTTCAGTCTGGACCACTGCCTTTCCTAAAGCCACGCTGCGAGCTAAAAATTCAACAGTAAAATGTCTTTCATGGTTACTCTAGATAACCCACAGACCTCACGGGAACTACTTTCTACCACAAAAATAGCCCCCAAAATGTATCTTTTGTAATTTGGGTGAACCAGTCCTTTGAGAGTAAGAGTCTGAGGGTTAGATCAGGTTAAAGTGGAGTCACAGACAGTCCCACAGTAACAGTAAAGCTTGATGTAAACATGATGACTGATATTTCCCACCCCCTCACATTCCCTGTCATTACAACAACAATGTGCGTGGGAGCTGAATGTTTTTCTTTCTGGTGCTTTTTTTCTCCAGGGAGCGCGAAATCATGCCCTGCTCCCATCGCTGCCATTTGGGGGGCTTGAGTCAGTCTCCCACCCTGATTTTTATCCTGGTGACTCTTGGCAGACCCCGTGCACTCTCAGGCGCTTTATTTTTATTTTTTCAAAGAGGGCAATTATAGTAGTGGTAGTTGCCATGGTGGCCGCTGACTCATGGGAACCGGTGGGTCTGAATCAACGTTGCTTTCTGTTCAGCATTTAATTCACAGACCGAAGAAGCATGACTCCATCTGCACCCACAATTTGCGGCCCCCAGACCTTAACAACATAAGTGGGCAATTTAGTTTCCGCTTCAGCTCACGTAAAGTCAAACAGTGTTTGTTTTAATTAAAGACTGGCCTTTACACTCTGTCCCTCTACATGCCCACTGATAGCACTGTTTATCAAACATAGCAGTTATGACACCACAGATTCTTATCAAGTTCTATTTCCTGTAATTTGAGCCTTGAAAGGAACAGGTCAACATTTCGGCATTTCGGGGATGCATTTGCTTTGTTATAGAGAGTTGGATAATTGATAGTACTCTCGTGTTTTTTAGGCTAAATATGAAGCTACAGCCAGTCACCAGTTAGCTTAGCTTTAGCATAAAGACTGGAAACAGGGGCAAACAGCTCACCTGGCTCCATCCAACAGTAACAAATCCACCTGCCACCACATATAAAGCTCCCTATTAAAGCTGGGATAGGCAGTTTTATTCTGGCTTCACTGGGCAAAAATCCCATAATAAACTTTGAGCATATTGTAATTTGACCGGTCTGAGAGAAAACTTGACTTCTGGACTTCCTCTTGGCTCTGTTTTCAGGCTTCAGAAAATCTACCTTTTTGTGGGTGGGTGTTCCTGTTGGCTGTTATACAAATGCAGATGCACGTGCACGTTCTTTTGTTAAAAGACTGATTCAATGCCGGAGTCCTGCAGAGAAAGTTGCTATTCCAGTATTGGGAACAAATGCTTACACTGCAAAGCAGACCAAAAAATGAAGACAGATCGGCCAAGTGTTTCAGAGATGACGGGAAAATGTTGCTAATAGTTTAGCCTTCTGCTAACAGGAGCAAAAGGCTCGTGGCTGCGACTTCAAGTGTACATTTATATAGTTAATGTCAGCTGGAGCCCTGAATCACAGTGTGTCCTTCACCTCTTTTCCCACTGCTACCGACCACCTCGCTGAGAGAAGGCAGCAGTTCCGGAGTCAGCAGCCTCAGCAAACCAAATTGAGCTGGCGAAAACCCCAGCTCCAGTAAACCGGACAACCCAAACTCCCCGTTGGATCAGCAAACTTTTTTTGCTGCGGTTACACAGGTTTGACCCGGCGCTGCTGCTGGCCGCCAGCCTGCTGTGACGCCTGGTGTGTTGGCTGAATTTGAGCCGCTACAGCCGCTGACCTAACATCTGTCTCCAGAGCTGCTGCCAGCCCTCCTGCTGCTCACAGTGGCAGGGATCGAGGGCAGAGAGAACATCGGAGGCTGGCTAGCTAATTCTTGTCTTGCTGTGTGCAATTGTACAATGAAATAAGATCAAATAAATCAATGTATTGGCAACACTGGGTTACTGTATGAACCACATGCATCTGCCCGTGGTCGTCTAGTGGGAGGGGCTTAGGACAGAGAGGACAGTCGCAGAAGAAGGAAGTATTTTCAGATTTCCATATCTCTGCCTACTCCAGCTTCAACACGTTGTATCACATTTGTCTTAAATCGAAGTATACAATAATTTGCTGTTTTACAGGGGGGTTACGTACCATGCAGTTGCTCTTGACCAAGAACTAGTTTGGCACATAACCTCCCTAAAACTTCAAAATATTGTTTTTACACTTCAGTTTTTGTAAGGATTGAACAAACAAGATACAACATGCTAACTAATGAGCTTTAGAGGTGTTTTGTTATTGTTAGACAGAGCCAGGCAAGCTGTTTCCCCTTGTTTCCAGCCTTTGTGCTAAGTTATGCTAACTGGATGCAGGCTTTTTTAAAAATGGTATTGTAGTACAAATATTTTCTACTTGTTTCCAATATGAGTCACTTTGTTTTAATACAAAATCAAGTTTAATTCATGTTTTAAGCTTCTGAGACTTATTTCTGGGAACTTCTTGAAACCCCTTTTGGAAAACAGGTTGAAATTATCACACCGCCCTGGCAGATTTTCTTTCTCTTGTTTTAAGAAAAGATGATTTTTAGGACTCAGTTATAAACAGAAAGGATAAGAGCTCCACACAGCTTCATGACAGCCTAAGGCAACCGTTTGTGGTGAAGTTTCCCTCAAGCCGGGAGCACAATTCAAATACCAGGGGGAGACAAATGTCCATTTTATACAGCCGCAGTCTGGGGCAGACAGATTTAACACCTAACATTTCCAGACAAGTCCAATAACTTCTCCTCTTAACTATACACATGCAAAGCCCGGCAGCTGTAGCTGTTTATGTAACCCCATAAAATGCACTCCTGTTCAACCCTCCCACACTTCCTGCTCAGATAATCCCATTTAAGTCAAAAGATGAAACCTGAAACCATTGAAAATACGACTTGTTATTTTACAGTAGCCCACCAAATGTTTACTGTCTGAGACGGGGAGTTACAGTCAAAAAAACTTTCATTTAGTGCAGTAAAAACTGTAAAAAAGTGTCCTCAGTTAAGTATAAAAATCCATGAAACATTTTGGAATTTATATTCAAAGTGTTGATGATTTTTGGCACGTTGTAGCTTCTGCAGCTATAAAGGATTTTATGGTCTGTGGTTGTAAAGAACATGGTGCAGGCCCTACTAATAAACTAGTTTGTTGCCTTGTTTATTGCTTGACAACAGAGTAGTATATTTGGGAAGATCCTTTTATAATTGTCAAAATGTTAAAAAATCAGTGTCTGTGATAGTTTTCATAACATAAAGGCCCCTATTCTGTGCAATAATAGCTTGATTTACATGAAAATTAAATAAAATAGAAGAAAAAGAGTGAAAGATAAGCATCATCTTAAGTTATCACTCACCTTGGTCTTGGATGAGAGCTGCTCAGATTGACTGACAAAGTTTCCACTGAAAAAACAAAGACGTAAGATCCAAATTTGGACCTGGCTTGTCAGCCAGCACTTAAATATGATCCCATAATTTGGTCGGAGGAGCAGTGAGAGGTTGTTGGTCACTCAGTGTTCGTGACAGAAGAGTTGATGTAGCTGCTGGAGAGGGAGCAGCCCTCTACTATGATCCACTCCCTGTCATCCTTTAGAGGAGGAGGACCAACCAGAAACAGTCCTCCACATGTGTTGAGAAGGAGGTGTTTCCTCTTCCTGAGAGATAACCAAACCTCATGCATGAACTGCTGGCATCTGACTGCAAAATAAAAGCCTCCAAAGTCACTCACTACAGAGTTCTCACTTCTGTAGAAGTCATCTTTTACTGGAGTTACTCTGCCTCTGTGCAGATTTAAGCCACACTGCTGACCAGAGGGAGGTGATCTCTCCTCTGCTGGCCACAAACACACCACAGTGAGGTCTGTTCACTGTTAAGCCAAGAGGGTGGGACAGGAAATAGCTAGTCGGCTGCCATGGGCACAGGGCCGCAGTGCTGTCGGGGGTTCGTGGATTAATTGAGCTCTTTGTATTTTAATCTCAGCGTCGATGGAGGGGGATAAAAAGACCTCAGCAGTGATTTTTGTGTCTCTAATGAGTTTATTAAGTAAACAGTGGAGCCAGCAGGTGCTGCTGTGTGGTGGAGTCCAGAGGTGGAGAGTAACTAAATACATTTACTCCTGTACTGTAATCAAAGGAGCTCTTATACTATTTAGAGCATTAATGTGGCAGCAAACTGTTTGGTATGTAAAGATACAGTAGAGTAATGGCGTCCTGAGCAGAGAATGGAATCACGCTTCCTCTGTGTGTTGTTATCCAAGCTTCTTTGTGCTTTGATGTGGCATGCGGTGAGTCCTATGTGTGTATCCCACTGGCTTGGTCATGGTCACCACTCTGCACTGCGCTCTGGTGCCGTCATGGAAGCATAGCGCCCACTGTCCTGTTCCCCCCAGGTTAACACTGTTAACTCTGTCAACACAGCTGCTCTGGTAGGCTCTGTTCATGCTCTTAGCACCTTTAGCTGCTAACTGCCAGCTGCTGCCAACCTCCATGTTGAGAAGCATGTGCAGACTATCTCTGAATCATAGATATGCTTTGAATATCATAGAGCTCCATTAACTACATTGTTTTTTCATTTTATGGTTTCATACTTATACTCCACTGAACTCTGTGGTGGAAGTAGGACTCAGATCTTGAACATAAGTAAAAGTAGCAACAGAGTGCCCCAGGAATGGGTCCTAAACCCCCAAAATTAGTTAGCATTATTCCATTCCTGGTTCGCTCGTCTTAGAGCGCATTCACACCAGGATAGTCCCAAGGGACTCGGTTTGATTGGGCGGGGAATGCTGAAAAATTTCACACCTTCATTTGGTTCAGTTCACTTTCACACTACACTTTTTAAAGCAGACCAAACCGCCTGGACAACATCACGCAGTTACAACAGCTGCTCGTTTGGGGGCGGTATTGCCCGAAACGACGAGGAAGAAGAAAACCCTGCTCATCGATGGGCCAGAACCGAAGACAGAAATCCATCCCCTTCAGCCAGCTTGGTCACCACAAAAACAATAGAGCAACACCAAATTTATGCGGCCTTGGGGTTTCTGTTTTTACTTTGGTGTTCAAAATTAATTGTTCTTTTTCTTCTTTTTTTTTTACCTCTGCTTCCCCCGTTTCGCGCTTTGTTTTTTTTTCTACCCAAAATGCACTGCGCTCTACGTCACCTCCTCTATTTGGTTCACTTCCTCTCTTTGGTTCACTGGATAGTCTGTTTGCATTTCCTACTGTAAGCGAACCGCACCAGGATTCGTTTAAAGCGGACCAAATAGCGCCAGTGTGAATGCATCCTTAAAGTCAATGGGTTTTTGTTAGATGCCTGAAATAAGGTCTGTCGTTAACACTAGCTAAACAGACTTTCACGTTTTCTTTTACGACATAAAATTCATCAGTAAATACCTCATTCAAATTTTAAAGCTTTTACTTTTCTTTGAAAAGGCGGTTGCTAACAAGTGGCTAAATGAGACTACTGAACGTCATCACGCCGGAGACGCCTTTACAACCCAGTTGTGGTGACTGTGTTAAGCTATGCAACCAACCACAGTGTTGTTCGTCATTAGCCTAACGTTAGCTTTTTACTTCTAAATCATAAAATTGAGTTAATTTGTGAGGATTATTTTGCTAAATAAAACATGTAAGTATAATACATTTTTATTTGCCAAGGAACTTATTTGCTGCAATAAACAAAAATCCAACGAAGCCAACTCCCACAGGTTTTTTGTAGGGGGAACCAGGGCGACTCTAACTTCCATGTCAGCCTACAAAATTTTTTGTTGTTGTTGTTGATTATATTGCTGGGGAGAGGGACGATTGGAATACTTTGCTCAGCCTGCTGCCCCCGCAACCCGGCTTCAGATAAGCAGCTGAAAATGGATGGATGGATTATATTTTGTATTATTAATCTGAATCTGCTGTTAAATAGATGTAATGGAGAAAGTACAATATTTTTCTCTGAAATGTTGCATAGAAAATAACCACAAATACTCAAGTGAAGAACAAGTACCTAAGAAATTAACTTATGTACAGCACTTGAGTAATTTACTTGTCATGCTTTCAGTACTTGCTGATAATAAATACTTAAGTACTTTTACTTAAGTAAAGGGTCAGAGTACCTTTCTGACCACTGGTGGAGTCTGTGACACTGAACCAGTCCGTGTTATGTCTTGTAAAAGAATTGTTTATGCGGTTAAGCCTCTGTAAAGTGCTATTCTGAGTTGAGTGAGTGTTGATGTGGCGCTCAGTCGTGTTTTTAGCAAAGCAGTAAGCAGTCATTATGTGGGCTGCTGTCATTCAGACGCTCTCAATGTTGGTTTGGGGAGAAAAATATGTCCCTAAAAACACACTGAGGCTGCAGCCAAGACAATGACCCAACCGCTGTGGGACATTCCTGTGTGTATATTCCTTAATTTAAGCAGTGTTTCACTTTAAATGACACAGCTGCTGAATGCACTCCCGTCTATCTACAGTGCAGGGCTTATCTGCCCCAGCTGCCTCCGCCTGTGTTATATCTGGCCTGTCCTCTTCCTGACACTCTGTAGGAATAACATACCCCTTTGCAAATTCCTCAAATTCCCAATCGTATTTGTGTATCGAGAGAACACTGGGACGGCAGTTTCCAAGCGAAACACTCTCTTCCTTTCACCCTGTTCTGCTCATTTCCATCCTGCCCGGCTTGAATGTCACACCACCAATCACGGAAGAGAGTGACAGCTCACTGATGCATGCGGCAGAGATGTTTGTGAGGTGGAAGCTGTGGAAACATGCCTGCTTGTTTTTCCCTCCACCAGACTGGCATTGATCGTGACTAATGTTTTCCTGCATGTGGACAGTTATTAACTTTCTTCTTTGTGGTGCATGCCAGGATAACTAAAGAGCAAACCCAATGACACTATGGGCCACACCCACATGTACTCTTTACTGTAATATGTTGGATTTAACTTTAATTAGTTGGTTATGTGCTCGAACAGAGACATTTTTAGGTTGACAGTGAGTTAATGTTAAGCATCTTTATTCACAATACCTGTTTGTATGTCACACAACGGTTATTAAGCCTCAAACTTGAGTACCAAAACAGTAGTATTTCAGTCAGTATTTTGTTTTTGTGGTCAAATATAACAAGACATCAGAAGATGTCAGTGGGCTCTGGGAACTAAAAACGATCATGCTTTACAGTTTTGTGACATTCTGTTGGCAAAACATTAAAGAGGACCTACTATGCTCATTTTCAGGTTCATAATTGTATTTTAGGTTTCTACTAGAACATGTTTATATGCTTTAATGGTTAAAAACAGTTGATTTTCCTCATACTGCCTGTGTTGGAACACCTGTGTTCACCCTGTCTGCAACGCTCTGTTGTAGTGCCTGTCTCTTTAAGCCCCTCTTCTGAAAAGGCCCAGTCTGCTCTAATCAGTCAGTGTTTCCGCATACTCTGTATCTCTGTCTCTGAACCATCTTCAAAATCACCAGTGAAAGTTTCTAAACCCAACTGGACATGTTCCAGCAGGAATAAGATCTGTGGACATGTTTTCTGACTAGGGTTGGATAATGGTGCCCGTATTTTTAAGGGTTCTGACCGAATTGCGTTGATACTACCAGGTATCAATTCACGTTAAATGAATTGGTCCTCAATATAGGCACCCAAGAGTGCACCTGGGTGAAGACGGCAGGTTTAGACAGGAAGTGGAAGCACTGCAAAGCGGCCCGAAACAAGAAAGCTGTTCTGTGGCCAGCTTCTAGGCTTCTGAGCACTTTATGGAAGAGACAACAGAGCTCCATGGAGCTGCTGGGTTCAGAAAGGAAGCAGCAGTGCTGTGAGGTAGCCCGAAGCTGTCTGCAAATCTCAGTCAGCCTCCCGGCAACCCAAAACTAACTCTGTAGTGCCAATGATTTCAGTCTGTCTGGTCTGTTTTCTTTCCTTTTTCATTTTAGAAATAGCAAAGCACCACTGCCATTTGTGATTGTGTTTATTTATCAGCTGTGTCTGAACAGAGTGAGAGAGACAAGCAGACACAAGCAGACACACACACACACACACACACACACACACACGCACAAGCAAGCAGACAGATTGACAGTTCAAAATTGATATCTTTGTCATTAAAGAAAGAGTACTGAAAAAAGGTTTCAGTACATTAAAAAGGTCCCTGACATTAGCATGTAACTTCCTGTAGCAGTGTAGGCTGTGTACTGTAAACACTTGGAGTAATGTGTGTGGAGAAGATGACCATATAAAGAAATCTGGCGCAAGATGCGTCATACTGTAGCCAGAGTAAAAAAAAAAAAAAAAACAAGAAGTTGGACACAGAGTATTCAGAACGGACTGAAGGCTGAGGTTTTTGCTCACAGTGATTACTTCTATTTACGTTTCTGTCAGTATTTGAACGTTGGTCATCTGACACGAACATCATTCAATGTAACACTATATATAAGACACAAAATAAGGTAAAGCATAATAGGTCCCCTTACATAATCTGCAGTTTAATTAATAATGAAAATAACTGTCAACGGCAACCCCAAAACAAAATCCAGTATCGGTCAGGCTATACTGCCAAACTTCAACTTGTGACCCGTCATCACAGTTTGTGGCCGTAGTGTGCACATGAGTTGTGAGCAGTTCTGCAGCAGGCCAGAGGAAATTAAAATGTCATTTGTGACCCTTCAGGTTGTAAACTGCGGATCTAGTGTGCTGCTTCTTGGTTGCCTCCAAGTATTTTTGGGCTGGTCTTGCACAAGCAGTAACCAACTGAGTTTCATATCCTTCTACGACAGAGAAAACAAGTTTTATTTTGTTTTCTTGAACTCTTTTCTGCCTCCTCCATGACTGGCAAAGTTGCGGACTCTGTGGATCTTGGCCAGCTGGCTCTCAATGGTCTTCATTATGTCCATGTGGTCTGGGATGTGGACGTAGCGGACATTTCTGCCTGTGATAAACATGTCCTGCAGCTGGGTGAGCTTACCCCGTCTGTCTCGGTACAGCACATCCTCCAGACGTATGTTCATGAAGGCGTCCACGCTGACTACGCGGCCCCGCGCTGTGCTCTCGTTCCTCAGGTCCACTGTGGTCACCTCTCCCTGCAGACCCTGCAGCAGGACCACCATGCTGTTCTCTGCAATTGTGCGCTCCCGGATGGAATTAAAGACCTCAGCTACAGGCGCTGGGCCCGATGATGGGGAATCAGTCCCCTCTGACTCCATTGACACTGATGAAGAGGATCTCCAGAGGTCAGGGGTACCTGAACACAGGCATAAGATCAACTGTGATACAATTCATTAGCAAAACTGTAAATTATTTATTGAGTTATCTGTTTTATTGATGTTTGTGTACAGTATGCTATCGTGTCTATGTTTAACGCTGCAGTCACTGTAAAAGCCTCATTACCTTGCTATACTAAAAAACTAGGGCTGCACAATTAATTGAAATAGTACCATAATCAAATATGGTCAAGTGTAATATTCATATTTGCAGGAGCTGCACTTTTTTTATGAAAGTTAAATGTGTCACAATATATGAAGCACTGTGGTGCTGCAGAGATGCCTCAGCCAACAAATTATATTCAAGACATAAGGGAACACGCTTGTTTGGTACAGACCCCAGCAAATTTCACATCATTATCATTCATTCATTCATCTTCTAACCGCTTCATCCTCTTGAGGGTCGCGGGGGGGCTGGAGCCTATCCCAGCTGACATCGGGCAAGAGGCAGGGTACACCCTGGACAGGTCGCCAGACTATCACAGGGCTGACACATAGAGACAAACAACCATTCACGCTCACATTCACACCTACGGCCAATTTAGAGTTATCAATTAACCTAATCCCCAATCTGCATGTCTTTGGACTGTGGGAGGAAGCTGGAGTGCCCGGAGAAAACCCACGCTGACACGGGGAGAACATGCAAACTCCGCACAGAAGGGCTCCCACGCCCGGGATCGAATCGGCAACCCTCTTGCTGTGAGGCGACAGTGCTAACCACCACACCACCGTGCCGCCCCACACAATTATCATTTTCATATATTTTTTTCAGTTGTTAGATCAGGTGAGAGCCAGGCGGTGCAGTCGGTGGAAAGCAACTGCAGCGCCTGGCTCTAAAAACTGCGGCCGCCTCGCTCTCGCGGCTTTATCGCCGTCCACTTTTGTAATACGTCAGAGCAAGTCGGGATGAAGTCGGACACAAAACTAACCAGCATGCATTGTTCGCCGATCGCCGGTGATCGAATCTGCGCAGGACTGGCTCATCTCGAACGAACCTATTGATAGTGCTGTCTTTCCACACGTACTACAGATTTAAGCACACCTGCATTTAATAAAGCACTAATTAAGAGTCGAGAGTCACTGTGGGAGCTCAGTACATAAAGGTAAGATATTATTAATCCGAGAAATGACATATCTCTCGACAAAAATAAAACGTGTTAATATAAATATATGACATAAGTATTTCTAAGTGCACTAAAGGAGGTTACAGGAAGTTTCCAAGCAGAAACGGGGCAGGAATTGGCATCTCTTTGAACGCAGAGACAGAAACCTGGCAAAGTAAGCAAGCAAGTCAAATTAGCTAACTGTTTTAGCAACGATTCAAATAAGAAAGCTAGAAGCTCTACACAGCGCATAAGATATATCTTACTCTCAGACAGTGTGTGTTACATTCACCTGGATGAGTTAAATCCTTATTTCATGTGAAAACACAGCGCTCAATCGCTGTAAGTGGAGACGAACAGTTCAAATATGTCAACAAGTCGGTTTTCCCGCAACAAGTCCCAAACAGGAAGAGCAGCAGAGCAGCGTGATGACGTTCACTTTGCGTCACAGATATGCGTCAACACGGAACAACACCGCCCTCTGCAGGCAGAAACACACCAGTGCACGAGGGCTTCTTCCTAAATGTATAAATGTGCAGATGCTGTGGATGCAAAATAAGACCATATATTGTCATTAAATATTAATTATACGTCCCAATATATTTTTTGTAAATTTAATTAACAGAAAAAGGCCTCACCAAGTTAAAAAAAAAAATCTCTTTTACAGTAGAGTCCTGGCCAAGATAGCAGCTGCGCATAAATCATAGAGGTTACATATCATATAATTCGTTATGTATTAGAAAAGTTAAGGATCATAATTATGTAAAATTAATAAACAACAATAAATGTACAATGTCCAATAAGATTCCAAAAAATTAACAAATTCAAAGGTTCAGTGCACTTATAAATTTGTCATGCAATACATTTACACACACAGTAGGTCGTTTAATATATTGAATGTTATATATGGAAGTTATTTATAATGCAAAACAATGTATTTTGGGCAATCCTTTGGGAAATTTAATAGGTTATGCATGAATTACATTTGCCCAAATTTCCAGATCCTAAGGCAGTTTTGGTCGTTAAGTTAAAAAACATAATCACCTTAAAAAAACAAGCAAACAAAATCAGAATAAATGCTTTATTAAAAACATATAATTATTATATAGAAAATACATCATAAAATATAGCAGGTCTTACAATCTGCACTGCATTCATGTGGTACTTTCCCACGTGTTGGTAATTTAAAACATAGTTAGATACAATAGTTTTTTAGGTGCTACAGTATGAGTTATTAGATATGTATTTTATTCTCTGATGTATTTTAATGTTAAACAACCTGCTGTCAGCAACTGCATATTTTACAGGTTAAACAGGAGATCACCGTGCTAGATAATTTTGATAATGTAATTTTAAGATTAAGAGTTAGGTGGTTAATTTGAAACAGTAAATGAAACTCATTGACACAACAGGGTCAAAGGTCATCCATCATGGCCAGCAGGTCGTCTCCTTTGCTGCTGCTGCTGGGATTTTCAGGCTGCTCCTCTCCTTCTGCAAATTCTCCGGCAATTCGAGCCAGCTCAGTCGCAGCCTGTTCATCCTGGATCAAACAAAACATGACGACTCTTCACATATTTATAATTAAGATTAAAGAAAAAAATAAAAGTGATGTGGCCGATATACTATACTGTTTCATTTTAACCTTATACTGTATCTTATATCACATACTATAGCCTGCTACTATACTATACTGTTTTCTAACATATACTATATTATATTTCTATATTTATACAGACACAAACAAGTATCATTACTTAATTGTTTATTTGGTTTGGTGTATGCTCTTAACATATACTATTTGCTTACTTTGCTGCTATTAATCACATCACTGTCACTTTTGACCTGTAATTTCTGCCTTTAATTGCTCTTATATAGTATTTATTTTTTCCTTTTTTTTAATCTTAGTTTTGTATACCTCATATTTGTATTTATTTTTATTTTTTACTTATCTTCATGCAGATTAATTTCTATCAGCCTACAATATATGTCAACCTAATAAGGTGTGTTTACCTTCTTTGCTACCTCAGTAACTGGTGTTTTAAACATGCTCCAAGTTTTCTCTCAGGTTTACAAGTTGTGTACAAACAGTTTTTAAGTAAAAGCTAAAAAGCATTCTATAGTACATCACCCTACCTGCATTGCTTGAATATTTATCACTCCAAACATGGACTGCTCAGCACCTGAAGCCACCCTGTTAACAAAACAAAAAAAGTATTATTTGTTGGAATTTGTGTAAATTTATTAGCAAAGAAAAGAGAAGTACTCACGCCTCCTCCTCCTCTTGGTCTGTAGTGAACAGGTTGATCCTAAAGCCACTCTCAGTTTTTGGCCTGTTCTCTGCCTTCATGCTGCCCATCAGACGAGCCAGCAGGTTCAGCTCCTCTTTGGCCAGCAGGTTGGGAGTGTCACCTGTCTGCAGCAGGTTGGTAGAGGCGCACAGGAGGATTATACAGGGATAGAAAAATGGTCTCAATCCTGGAGTATACTGTATGCGATACATAATATGAGATGATGATGATCATGGAACTGTGCAGTGATGGACAAAGTATTCAGATCCTTAACTTCAGTAAAATTAGCAATACCACATTGTAAAAAACAACAACCCTCAATTACAAGTAAAAGCGTTGCATTCAAAATCATATTTAAGTAAAAGTACACAAGATTATACAAAATATACTTATGGTAGGCTATATAAAAAGTTGAGGAGTGAAAAATCCAATGAGGACGATCCTACTTTTGACTGAGCCTGGTGACGTCCCAATGAGAAATGCTTTAACACTTCATTATTACCTTGACAGAGGGAGTCTTGGATGTATGTGTCTCCTCTGGATGGTTCACGGTGTACCTTTTAATTCATGAAACACAAAACACATTTTCTAATTTATTCTATTATCCGTCTAAGATATAGTATATGTGGGGTAGTGCCATGCATACGCACATGTTTATGCCCAGTCTGAGGACTCTGTCTCCATGCAGTTCGAAGCATCCCTTTCTGATGGGGCTGGTGTAACTTCCTCCTGTGGGGAACTCACGTCGTCTCACTTCTCTGCCCTTACTGTCAAACGTCCTGTGGAAACAGGAAGCACTTGATTCAGATATTTCTTTAAGGCATTCAGAGGAAATCTGAGACTAAACACAAACACAAAAAAATTCAAATTAAGACATGCCAGCTTGTCAGAGGAGCCTTTGCAGTTGCATCAGAGACCTATAAACAGCTGCATGTGTTGCCACGTATGGAGGCCAAGTGCTAAATATACTGGGGGTAATGATGTGCAACAACAAGCCTAGAAAAAGTGATTGATGTGTAAAGGTGATTTATATTTAGTTGTGAAACAATAAAACCTCTCATCAGTACTGTGCAAATTATATTGTTGGCTAGTTGCTAGCTCGTAAATTGACATGTAGGGTAGTGGACAATGTGAAAAGGACAGATTCATTAGAAATTTAATAAGGATCTATTATCCCACTAAAGAAGCACAGAGATGAACAGTCAGTTTTGCTGTGCAAAAAGGATTTAGACCTATAGCTTTCCTAGCTAGCCTCTGCGTGCTAGTAACTCTCGAAGAGGAATTCTTAATCAGTTTTTCTGAGAAGCTGAAAAATGTAGGACAGTTCTGCCAATTTTCTAAGCTAAAGAGGTATCTATACTTTTTTGAATGTTTTATTAAAGTAGCATAAACACAGTCACAGTGACAGGCTTGTTTAAGCAAAATGAAATAAGCAAATTGTTAGCATGCTAATGTACTTTCTGCAAGTACTATGTTTACCATCCAGAGTTTAGCGTGTTAGCATGCTGACATTTGCTAACTGGCACCAACCACAAAGTACAGTTGATAGTCTCTACATTTACAGGTATAGAGAGGTGCAGGAATGAGTCCTAAACACCATGAATGAGTCAGCATTTTAGCACTCCTGGTTCCCTGGTCTCAAAGTCAGTGTCTTTTTTTTTTAAAGGGTTTTTGGTTTGATGACATCAAGAGATATCCCACTCGTGAGCTTTGAAGCTTTTACATGTCTTAAAAAAGCTTGTTGCTAATAAGTGGCTACAGGATCTCATCACGCCAAACATGTACAGCCTTGTTGTGGTGGCGACGTTGAAGTCATGCAACTGTGATGTTGTTCTTTTTAGCCTAATGTGAGGTTTGGCTTGTGGTGATTGCATTTACGCTTCAAAAACCATGGAATTCTAATTTGTGAAGATCATCTTACTGAGCAAAATGTTTATCATACATCTTTCTGCAATAATTCAAAATACAATGGGAAAATACCATTGGATTTTGGTTAAGGGAAGCAGGATGATGCCAATGATGCTTTAGTTTCGGCCAACATATAAATGTCCTCCCTGCTGCACTCTATTATAAACCAAACTGACCAAAACTAAAGTATTGGACAAATGTTGCTAAATGAAATGTAGGAATCTCCAAAGTGATTACAATTCATCCTAAAGGGTACATGAATGTCGGCACCATTTTTTTCTAATCCATGTGGAAATATTTAACTGGTTAGTGAATACTTCGTGGTGGTGCTTGATGAAAAGTTGGACAATCACCAAAGTCATAAGTCATTAGTCATTTATCCTCTGGGGACCTTGAATGTCTGCACCAAATTTCATGGCAACCCAGCTGATATGTGTCACGGAATTTTAGCAGTTGTTGAATGCTTGCTGAGTAGATGTTAGCTAGAAAAGGACTACAGGACTACAGATCATGTCACGTTATCCGACAGCACTCTATATGTCATCATTTACATGTAAAAAAAGCTCAACGAATTTTTGATTATTAGAGCACATTCAGTATGTTCGTCAGCTGCCTACCTAATAAGCCCTGGAACATCCACCCCATGTGGCACTGGGCCTGATGTTGACAGGACAAAACGTCCATTGGGATTCTGGGCTTGATTTTTGAGGAAAAGTGACACCTATGAGGGAATAATAATTTTTAATAAATGCTGATTGATATTAAACAGCTATAATATCTTCATCTCACTTGATTGGAGGGATGAGGAAAAAAAAGCAGAGAACTCACACGAACATGCAGGTCTTGAAAAAATATGAGCAGTGTTTGCCTGAGAAGCTGGAATTCACCTTCTGGTAGAGATGAGTACACCTAGAGTATGTCAAGAAGAACATAAACAGGTCACAAAAGATGATGAAACAGACACCTGGATTCCAGACAGTATGTAATGTACAGACTGTACAACCATCCTGAGGTAATAAACGGTAACGCAACATGGTAATTAAAGGTTGATAACAGCTCTCAATATACCTCAATGATCTT